AACAAAGAAGTTTTCAAATTCAGACTGAGGCCAGCTCTTACAGAGGCATTTCTGTCACAAAGTGCACGCACGCCTGCGTGGGATCTCCGTGAGTCTGGGAATGACGTCCAGCAGAGAGCGCTCAGCCTTCACAGCGCATCCAGCTGTCACCAAGGCGGTTCGTTCTCCTTTGAATCAGTTCCCCGTGAGGTGGCAGCTCCCCAGTAAGGGACTCATCGTTCAGTTCTTGGGTTTTTAAATTTCTCTTTCCTTCATCACCCTTATCCTTGCTTGTACAGCAGCTGAAAAAGCAGCTCTCTCAACCAAAATTTGAGGACAAGTTTAAGTTACACAGCAAAAAACTATGATAAAATGTAGTCACACTGTAGCCAGGTAAGGACGAAGTAGAGTGGGAACACAAGAAAGGGGGCCTGGGAGAGGAAGGGTTGGCAGAAGCCGCATAAAAGAAAAAATATTTGATCTATCCTTTGTCCTCCTCCTTTAGTCTTAGGTGATCGTTAAATCATTCTCCCTTTGGGAAAATTAAAAACAAAATGTCACATTACAAAAGAAACATGTATTCATAGAGATTAGAAAACCCTGGGACAGCTGTGACTCCAGTCCTCCACTGTGTTTGGGGGGGTGATCGTGAGGTTGAAGAAGACCTGGGCAGTAATTTTGAGTACAGAGGGCCTAGAAACCAAGTGGTAAGTTAAACATTTGTTATAATCAGACCTTTAAAAAAAGAAAAACTCAAAGCAACACTAAAGAGGAATGAGGAAGCTGGAAGAGAAGGGAAGCTGTCCAGAAAGACAGTTCCTTTGTAATTCTTCCCAGCTCAGCCTCGACTTGCCGGGGGATCCTTGCAGGTTTTGGACTTAGGTGCTGTTATTAAGGACTGTGTCCACAGAGCCTTGTTCCCTCTCTATCCCAGAAAGCAGTAAACTGTTACTGATTCACTTTCCATGTCCCTTAAGCTTGCATTACTTAAATTTCCTTCTTCCTGTTAAATTAGAATTTTAAAAATCTCTTATTAGTTTCCTCAAAGATTGAGGAAACCATTAAGTCTGAAGAGTGTTGGAAACCTTTGGGACACACAAGGCATTCAAGTGCTGGAGATGATATCTATAATGATGCCATTTTTAAAATCTTTCATTATTTTTGTCAAGTCCTGAAATCCCATAAAAGCATAACAGCAATGGGCTTAGGGATTGTACTAAATTAAAATTTGTGAAGGAGGAAGGACAGGACTGATGGTTTCCTTGATTTGCATTATTGTTTATCCCAGATTCCAGGAAAAAGCAAACTATTAGTCAAAACTCACGATTAGATGGTTCTATACAGGAAGCCAGGGCTAGATGTTCACAATTTAACAGGGTTGATGATAGTAGGAAAGAATCACATCGAAATCTCGTTTCCCACTGGCAACACTTTCTGTGCCACTCCCGGAACGTTTCTAGGGCTCCCCCGTTACACTCAGAATCACCCACATTGCAGAAAGCACTCTACAGGTATCAGCTATCTTACCTACTTTCCTAATTAGCTGTCGGGCACGTCTCTGGAGACCTGGAAGGGGGTGGGTGTCAGGAACCCCTTGTTGACGATAGGAAACCAAGTGACAAAAGAGGTGATTTGTCTCAGGATATTGAAAGGCAAATTGGAAATGACAGCCAGACTCAAGTTTAGTTCAGCCTAAATAAAGAAAAATGCCTCCTTATTCACTGACACCAAAATATTCACCTACAAAATGAATTTTTTCTGGCATGATTTTTTCCCCTTCGTTCAGCCTGAGAGATAATACTAATGATTACCAGTGATGGTAGTGAAAGCCAGGCTTAATCACCATAATTGACAATTAAGTTGGGTAACAACACAGAGACAGGTGATTTCACACAGGGCTAATGAAAATGGGCTATTAAAATCCGCACACGTTTGGCAGCAATTACGAGCTCCTGGAACCATTTGCTTTGAAATGTGCACATTTCACAGGCGGCTGCCTGCCAACGAGACAACCCTGAGCAGGACCAAGAGAGAAAGAGGGAGAGACAGAGTCGCCGGAGATTCCTGTAGGTGCCATTTCCTTTCAGTGTCTTGCTGGATCTTTATTATTACCTGCCTGGTATTTTAAAGCCAAAGGAAAATGCACAGTTCACAGTTTTAGGGACTGATGCCCCATCTTCCTGCAGAACCACAAGGGGGCTGTCAGAGGACAAGGGAGAGGGCGCTAACAGCCGCACGGGGGCAGAGGAGAGGGGTGTGGAGCTACGGGTGGGAGGAGGCTGGGCTTCCTGGTAGGGTGCACTGAGGCCCTGATGTCAACAGTTTTCACAAAATGTCAAGTAGAAGTAATAATCCTTGTTTTCCAAGGATGACAGAGAATAGTTAGGTACGTTCAGTCCCTTAAAGGCACTGGATTCCGAAGGCGAGGCCGCTGTACCGCGGTTTCTCGTGTTCCTGGCTCACCCCCGCGCCTTCACAGCAGCCTGCCACCGTTCTGCTGAAAGCGGCCCTCGGGTAAGCTCATACCACCTGGAGGGGCCCTGTTAGTAGGGAAGGTAACCAGCTCGTTTCCAGTAACAGGAAGCCAAACGGCAGGAGCGGGAAGTAGCTGTCTTTGGGTCGCCTGGGAGTGACGCCTGTGACCAAGGCGGCAGCTCAGCCTTGTCCTTTACCCACTCTGACGACGCCGGTGCCCTCGTCGGTGCGGTTAGGCCGTTCATATGTAAAACGACTGTTGGTGTCGTTGGGTTATGATTGGACCTACTATGTGTCTTATTTATTGAACTTGTTATTTGTTTGTCTTCCTCTCTTTTCCTGCCTTCTTTGGTTTTAATTGGACATTTTACACGGTTCTGTTTTACCTCCTGTTAGCACGGCAGCTGTACTTTGTCAGTATTTTAGTGGTTGTTCTCTAGTTCACCACACGTTTACAACTAGTCTACTGCTTCATGCGTCGTGCAAGTACCTTATAACGGAGCTCCCCGTTCCTCCCTCCCATCTCTTACAGCATTTTTCTCGTGTTTTACTTTATCTTTTTATTTACTAAATTTAGTATGTGTTGCTTTTTTGTTTAACCCTTTATATTTGTCCCCAGCTGATACGCACAGAGAAAAACTGGAAGGGCCCAGAGTGCTAAGGGAGTTAGTGAAGGCAGGTGAGAAATCTCCTGAAGTAACAACATATTGTCCTGATCTAGAATAACTTTTAGAATAACTTTTGTATCAGAATATTTAAAACTGTGTGAGCCACATAAGCAGGCAAAATATGTGCCACCACATCCATCCATTTTCTGAAGGAAGAACTTGGTGGTAACAGAACATTTCAAGACCTAAGTTCCTCGCCGTCTCAGTAAGCAGGGTTTTTAGATCAATGTTTACGGTACAGGCTTCTCCACGAAAGTTCATCAGTTAAAAAAAAAAAAACCTGTGGCCCTCTTGACCCTACCTTCACCTCCTCAGAGGGGGGGGCCGGATGGCATCCAAGATGCTGTAGAAGAAGTGGCACCAACAGCGTGGGCAGCTTCTCTCATTCCTCCTTCCCAGGGGGACAGCCTTGGACGCAGGGGCTGAAGGGATCCCGAGACAGACTTACCGAGCTACGGCAGGGCGGCGTTTCTGACTGACGAGCTGGGAGAGGTAGAGAGGGAAGGCGGGGGGCTGCTGCTAACACGTGAGCCCACGTTGCAGGGAGAAGGTGCCACGTGAGTTTGCTGACCTCCTGTGCTGTTCTGCCCAGCCTACCAGGGGAAGACCGGCCTGGCCCCCGTCCTCCATCCAGAGCAAAGGCCCATGAGGCTGGAACATGGGGGACAGAATGTAGGGTGAAAAATCACCCTCTTTCATAAAAACATCTGTGCCCCTGAGAAGGTCAACTGTGCTCCCTTTGGGAGTGAGTTCCTGCTCTGCACCCCTCAGATGTTCATCCAGGGCTCGCCCCCGCGCTCCGCTAGCTGAAGGAAGGACAGCTTTTCAGGAGGGTCCATGGCTGTCACATAATCAGGTTTTCTTTGCATCTGCTGGTACTTCATGGGCTTTGACTGCTTTGGGAGGCATGGCAATTACTCGTGCATTAGGTTAGGTTCCTCTACGTTCTCCCTTTTCGGAGTTCCAGTTCTGCTTCTAAGACTTATGACGCCAGTCAAGAGGTTAAAGTTATCATAATAACCATGTGTCAAGGGCTGAAGGGAAGAGTAGCAGATAGGAGGCAGTGAAAATGAAAGTACATTTTAGGAAAACAAACTTGGGAATCATGAATTTAGGGTCTAATAGGTCTTCAACACAGATCCTAAATCGTGAAGGGCCGAGGAGCTGGGGAGGGAGGCAGATAGTACAACCCAGGTGCTAAAGGCACCGCCTTCCTTAGGAGGTGATGGTCCCAGCTCTGGGGCCTCCAGTAGCCAGGGTTCCCTGGATCCAGGGCCCAGGGCTGAGGCTTCGGAAGAGGGAGGCCTTTGGGCATCCCAGGTGTTGAGGGCCTCAAAGCAGCAGAAATCAGGCTGGTTGAGGACAGTCGGCCAAGACTGAGACTTCACGTACAAAAGCATGAAAAGCCATAGCTTGTGTGGTGTCTCCCCCTAAGACTCCTTCTCCGGGGGCTCTGAGCCCCCTGCCCTCCTGTCTGACATTCAGTGTCAGCTCTTTGCCATTCCCACAATCCCCTTATTTCTTGAAGCGGAACTGAATTTGGAGAGAAGGGGAAAGGAGATCCTCTGATTTCTCTGAAGTCACATTTGACAGGCCTCTGGACCACTGTGTGCTCTCCAAGATCTGAATGCTGAGCGGTATGAAGAGAAGGGCGGGGTCAGGGGGGCTCCACTTCTCTGGGTCAGGATCCCTATTCTCAGCCTCTGCCCTTCAGAGACCTGTCTTTCCAAGGCACGAACTGGCTGAAGGTGCTTCCTTCTCGGAGTCACCCTGTTCTCCTGTGACCGCTCATTTCTCCTTAATCCACATAACTTTTTCAGCACAAAGAGGTCAGTCTGATGGAGGGGAAGAAAGCTAGAGAGGAAAGAAAGCAATGAAACCACTAGAGATAGGAACTTTATTATTATGCAGATAGCTATGCAAACGGGCCCAGGCACGCTGCCCAAGGGCCTTCTCACACAACCTGTGTGTCCCTGTACCACAGGCACCGAAGCAGCAACACCGAAGGAGAGCAACATTAGAACTTCCAGAAAACAGTATCTCAGAGGCCACTGGGCCCTGATCCCGATGTGAAATGCTCTGTTACAGGAGCTCTGAGCAGACAACTCAGCTGGCTGCTGAGGGCTGGCCCTGACGCTGAGCCAGCGGTTAAGGCACCAGCTGTCGTGAGGATGAAGATGAGGGCTGTGAGTGAAGGCTGGCAGCCCTGCTTCTAGGAAAGTAGTATCTGAGAAGGGCGGTCAAGGAATGTGTTTCATCACTTTAAAGTCAACTTCACTAAAGCTACGCAGTCCCTGGTTTAGTCATGATCAAAATAAGCAGCCCAGAAGCCTGGACCTCCTTTCTCCGTACCAGAAGCCCTTCTGATGCTGTCAGCACCCACGACCGCTGCTCCGGCCTGCTGTGCAGAGGGCTTCTGACACCGCGCGCGCTGTGCAAGCACATAGAATACAGCGTCTCTCTTAAGGTCCTATAGTGACTTAAATATCCTGAAAACCACCGAGTGAATTAACTTCAGTAACGAAGTAAGAGGATGAAGTTTCTATCTGACCGTAGCTCTTGGGGGTCAATTCAGCTTCTTCTAGCGACTCTGGACTTAGTATAAGTTCCAGCAATGCTAACTCACACAGCAAGCAAGTCATTAGAAGAAAATACTAGTCTTGCAAAACTAGATTATACCCTGAATGGTCAAAATTATTTTCTCATTGCTCCTTAAGAACACACTGAACAGGTTCAGAAACACAGCAGCTCACCTGTTTTGCTGCGTGTCTGTCAGCGAACAGAGCGAAGCTGCCAGCGTCGGGCCTCGGTCGGCCGGCCTGAAGGGGGAGACGCGGTGTAAGAAAACCCAACACGTGCCGAGCGCAGCTGCCCCGCAGATCCCCCTCTTCAGGCGCCTCTAGCCTCGCTGTGGGCGGGCTCAGCCCCGGGACACACACAGGTCAGCCAGTGCATCCTAGTTCTTCCCCACTGAAAAGGGGCAGAGTGAAAAACGTGGCAGAAGAGGGCTTGGCCTTGGGTTAACAGTGACACCAGAAAACGCAAGACGTCCTCCTTTTTGAGCTGCGAGAGCACACGATGAGGACAACGAAAGGATACATGTAAGTTGGGATGCCTCTTGCGGCCAAGTGTTTCCGAATAAGTCGCTCAGTACCGTACCAGTTAAAGTCTCTCGTGGCGTGTCCGATGCGTGGAAGATGGACACTTGCTGTTACAAAAAGAACACATCATGATATCTTCATTCATCTGAAACTGAAGGGTACAGTGTATGCAGAGAAGGTAGTAATGTCCTCTGAGTCACTCTAGTTCCCAGTGGACAACACGTGTATAACCATGTGCGTCCCACTCAGAGCGCAGAATTATAATGTCAGAAATATTCTGGGGAGGGGCCGTAAGAGGGAAAATTAAATAATTCTATTGAACATGAGGATCTACAGGCTCTGGAAATAAGTAGGTATAATGGAAATAGAATATGATGGTCGAGATATAATTCTTTAACAAATCAAGCAGTTCCACAAACCCTGAGATGCTCTGGGTTTGGAAACAAAGTGTAACTGGTCTTTGGCAAAGAACTGTCTGCTGATGTGGACTGTGACTCTCGAAGAGGGGACAATGATAAACAGCATTTCCCAACTGCACCTCTGGTCCTCTGCCTCCTCATCTGTGCTCATGATACAAACACCCCAGTGGAGGCGGATAACGGGTACAAAGGAGATTTAGAAACAAAAGGGACTTTACAAACAGGGTGATGCAGTCATTACTTCTGTGGTCTCCCATGTCGGGGCTTACCTTTACCACATACACTGAATGGGGTCTTGACATCTCTCCCCTCCCTTTAAAATTCACATATGCTTAGAAACAGAAATTCACCTACTCCCGGGCACAAACGAAGAGATTACCTTTCTTTTTCTTTGCTGCGAAGAATATCTTCTTCAGGCCCTCTTCCAGGGCTGCCATCTTAATGCCAGACAGCACATTGGAGCGGTCGCGGTGCTGGGCCACAATCAAGGCCAACTAGGAGAAGCAGTCATTAAGTGGGTGACGAGGCATGAGATGCTCCGCCCCAGCTAAGGGACCTGCCCCCGGTGGGGGTGTGAGCAGCCCCTGGGCAGGCACAGCCCCTCTGGGGTTACCCAGACTTTGGCTTCACCTCTTTTTCCTAACTCTTTGTTAACGTGTAGTCAGCTTACAGTGTTAGTCTCAGGTGGACAGCAGAGTGTTCCGTTACACATATACATACATACACACATGTACTTCTCAGATTCCTTTCCATTATAGTTACTACAGGAAACTGAATGCAGCTCCCCTGTGGTTTACCTGCTTCCGGCCTCCTCTCTTTGGAACGCGCTGCCTGAACAGCCAGGTCCTACGAGATCCATGACTCCACGCCCCGCTGTAACTGTTCAGTCTTACTTAGTGGTAATTTTATATAAGCTTTTCTTCCTCTTTTTAAAGATATGTTAAAACCTGAGTCCAAAGCACGCTGTCCTTTCTAAATGCTCTCAAGGGGAAAGAGAATTCTTGAGAATCTTAGGAGCAGGGGAGCTTTAGAGGTCCTTGTACCCAGCCTGCTCTGGGGCTCCAGTCAGCTCTGAGGTCCCGGAGACAAGCAGGCACCCCAGCCCTGCTCAGACAACTCCCAGGAGGACGAAATGGCCAACACCGCCCACCCTGTCCTAACCCAAGTGCCAGGGCAGCGCCTGGGACGGATGTCGCCAGTCGCACAGCGGCCGCGCTGCTCCACGCGCCCTCAGCTGTTCTGAGTCACTGGGCTCCGGGTCTCTTAGGCACGCCCACTGTGTCCTCCTCGTTTTTTAGAAATGACTAGATGACTGAACAAGAGACCACTCTGTTCTTAGCCATGAGGCCACCAACCTCAAGAAAGCGCCCCTGTCCTTCAGCCAGATTTCTAAATTCTTTTTCTAAGTCAGTAAGATTTGGCTCGAAATTTAAGTATGAATTCAGGCCTTGGAGAAAACTAGGTAGGTGTGGTAAATAAAACATCTTACAGGAATTCCAAGTGACAGGCGAGTGTAAGACACTTAAGGTGTGAAAGGAGAATTCTGACGCAGGCAGAAGAAACACGCACTGGCTCACCTCCTCTGCTTGTGGCTGGCAGGAAACACGGCCTGCCACAGGCCTCTTCACGTGCTAAGTGATGAGATCCTCAGAGCTTTCACTCATGTTCTCTTCTTCATTTAGTAAATGTTTAACGGGAGCATTTCCTGTAAGCCGGGACTGCATGAGGAACTGAGGACAAGAGGACAAAGCAAGAGCCCTTGCAGCCAGGAGGGGCCCGCCACCCAGGCCAGCGGAGGGAGCGGACGGGGGACAGTGCTGCTGGGGCGGTGACGGACGGGGGTGGGGCGGGAGGAAAGCAAGGCCCAACCTGCTTGTTACGGGCTGAACTGTGTCCCCCCATTTCCTATACTGAAGCCCCAACCCTCAGTACTTCAGAATGTGACTGTATCTAAAGACAGTGCCTTTAAGGGAACTGAATTCAATGTCCTGTAATACCCTTTAATGAAAAATACAGAAACAAATGTATGTATATGTGTACGTACACGCATGATTGGGACACTGTGCTGTACACCAGAGACTGACACACTGTAACTTACTTCAATTAAAAAAGAGAAAAAAAGTGCCTTTAAGAGGCGGTGAAGTTAGAACGAGCCTTACAATCAGCGCTGCACAGAGGAAACACCCTGTGGGGACGCAGCAGGGAGGTGAGCGTCTTCAAGCCGAGGACAGGCCCCAGAGGAAACCGGCCCTGCTGGCGTCCTAATGCTGGACTTGCAGCCTGCAGGCCCGTGGCAAAGTAACTTTGTTTTTCAAGCCACTCGGTCTGCGTGTTTCGTGGCGACAGCCCGCGCGGACGGACACGCTGCTAGAGGCCAGCGCGAGCAGGGGCGGTCCCAGCGGGAGGCGACGCGAGCCGAAGTTCAGCTCTGATAAAAGGTCCGATCTTTTCTACTTACCAGATCTTGCCCTTTGCTTCTTGACTCTTTATCATCAATAGGAAATAAAAGGACACTTCCCAAACTCAAGTCTGAGGTAAAATAAAAGGGGGCAACAGAAAGAACATTAAGTTCACGACGGAATGAGACCTCCAAGGAAGGACTGTCCTGAGCCCCTCCTGTGCGTGCCCTGCCTTTTCCACAGCCTCCTTGGCTCACTTTCCTGGCCAGTGGTCACTGCCTTCGCCAGGTACTTGCTTCACTTGTGAACTGTTTTTTCCTCAAAAACATTTATTTTTAAAATTTTTAATTGTAGTAAAATACTCATAAAATTTACCATCTTAGAGGGGAGGGAATAGCTCAGTGGTAGTGTGTGTGCTTAGAATGCAGGAGGTCCTGGGTTCAACCCCCAGTACCCCCATTAAAATGAATGAATGAATGAATAAGCTAGTTACCTGACCCCCCCCAAATTAAAAATAAAATTTGCCATCTTAACCATCCTTAAGCACACAGTTCTGTAGTGTTAAGCACATTCACCCTGTTGTGTAACCCATCTCCAGGACCCTTTATCTTGCAGAACTGAAACTGTGGGGATGAAACAGCCCCCCACGTCCTCTTCCCCCAGCCCCTGCAGCCACCCTTCTGCTTTTCTCTCCGACTCTGACTGCTCCAGCTGTCGCAGGTTAGCGAAATCACACAGTATACAGTCTTTCTGTGACTGGCTTATTTTGCTTATTAGATTATGTCGCTATGGTTCTCCTGTATTGTCGCATGTGTCAGAATTTCCTTCCTTTTCAGGCTGAATAACATTCCACTGTATGTACATACCATTCACCCGCTGATGGACACTTGGCTTGCTTCCACCTTTCGGCTGTTATGAATAATGCTAACACGGGCATTTAAATGTCTGCTCAAGTCCCTGCTTTCAGTTCTCTTGGGTACAGACCCCTGCGCGGGATCGTATGTAATTTTAGTTTTAGTTTTTTGAAGAGCCTTCACGCTGTTTTCCATAATGGCTACACCGTTCTACATTCCCACTATCAAGTTCCAGTTTTTCCATACCCTCACCAACAACTGTTGTTTTGGGGATTTTTTTTGTTTTTAAGATAAAACTGACACATAACATTATGTAAGTTTAAGGTGTACAATGTATTAATTACCCTGATACATTTACACTGCAGTGTGATTGCTACTGTAGCATTAGCTAAGGCCTCAATCCCTCCCATAATTTATCATTTCTTCTAGTGGTGGGACAATCAAATCTAGTCTCTTAGAAAGTTTAACATTTAAAATACAGTTTTGTTGTCTGTAGTCCTGGACTGAGTATTAGATCTCCAAGACTTGCTCCTCTACCAGCTGCAAGTCTGTTCAGTATCTCTACCACTCTCTAGCCCTGAGCAACCACCACATTGCTGCTTTTAAGATTTCAGTTTTCATAGATTCCACATTTAAGAGACTTCATATAGTAGCTGTCTTTCTCTGTCTGACAGCTCACTTAGCATAAGTTCTCAAGGCCTCCATGTTAACACAAATGGCAGGATTTCCTTTTCTTTCATGGCTAAATAGTATTCTGTTTTGTGTGTGTGCGCGCACGCGCATGGGGGTATCCTGTATCTTCTTTATCCACTCACGCACTGACAGACAGGTGGTTTCCATATCTTGGCTGTTACAAGTAATGCTACAGTAAACATGGGAATGCATATGTCTCTGTGATAACCTGCTTTTATCTCCTTTAGATTATACCCAGAAGTAGAGCTGCTGAATCGTATCATAGTCGTAGCTTTAATTTTTTTGAATAATGTCCATACTATTTGCCTACTGTTTGGACCAGTTCACAGTCCCGCCAACAGTACACAAGGCTTCCCTTTTCTCCACACCCTGCCCAACACTGATCTCTCGTCTTCTTAGTGGTAGCCACTGTTACAGACGTGAGGTGATACCTCACTGTGGCTTTGATTTGCGTTTCCCTGATTAGCGATGTCACGCACCTTTTCGTGTACCTGTTGGCCATGTGGATGTCTTTGGAAAGATGTCTATTCAAGTCTGCCCATCTGAAAATCAGACTTTTTCTTTTGCTATTGAGTTGTCTGAGTTCTTCACAAATGTTGGGTATCAACCCTTAATGACACGTGGTTTGCAAATATTACTTCCCATACAGTAGGCTGCGTTTTGTTGATCGTTTCTTTTGTAGAACATACGTTTTTAAGTTTGAGGTAGCCCCACTTGTTTTTCTCCTATTGTTGTTCATGCTTCTGGTGTCATATCCAAACAACCCACTGGGAAGATCAACATCAGGAGCTCCGTTCCTGCATCCTCTGTCCCTCCAGCCAGACCCCCCGCTCCAGCCTGACAGCCCGCGCTCCACTCTCCAGGAGCACTCACTGACCGCCCCGTGCTGGGGAGGCTGGGGTTACAGGGGCACCAAAGAGAATGCAGCACGGCTAGGGGCTCTCTTGCCCTTTCTCTCCGCCTGTTTAAATTCAGCCCATCCTTCCAGGCCCAAGAAAACTTCCACCGCTTCCATGAAGCCCTCCATGGTAATTCAAGCCTATGTTTCATCTCTCCTGCTCCACCTTATTTCAGTCCTTCTTCAGAAAAGAGTACACACTCCCACGTCTGCTTCCTTACTGACCACTTGCACCTGAACTCTGTGCAACCAGGTTTCACGCTACGCTCTCCTCAGAGGGCTCCACGGCTGTGCGACTGCCCCCGGGGCAGACCCAGCGGTCTCTCCCCAGTGCTCATCTGCACGTCGGCGTCTGATGCTGGAGACCACTTCTTGACACCCTCTCCTTCTTATACCTCAAAACTCTACATTGTCAAGGTCCCTTATTTCTCTGACTATTCCTTCTGTCTCCCCTTCTTGCCCCTGCTCCTAAATGGAGGTGTTCCCAGGTTCTGTTCTCCAGCCTCCCGCTTCTCCGTCCTATCGCCTGCAGGGTTTTAAACGAGGATCCAAGTGGGGACTCCTCAGTCTGCACCTCTAGCTCCAGCCTCCCCTGGAGTCTCTCCTTTCCAGCTGCCCACTCAAGATCTAGATCCGGGTGAATTACGTCAACACGTGCTAAACCCTCCGTTCAGTCGTCGGTTTTAGCAGGAAAAGTGTTCATTCTAAATCTTTACATCCCTCTCTGCCCTAGAGAACTGAGGAGGGAAGTCAGGAAAAATCAATCTTTAAGCAATCTGGAGGGCCCTTCTCTATTGGACAACATCCTTTAGCCTCTCAAGCTTGGAGGAAATTATCACAATAATCACTTACTCCTCTCGCCACTGTGATCTCCACACGTAACAGGAGGCGCCCTAGCCCCGTCTCCGTGCCGGCCTCCCAAGTTCCCCTGGCCCCAGACAGCTCCAGCCCAGCCTGTGCCCCCTGCATAGCACGGCCTCCCCCCGTCAGCGCCCGGCTCTCGTGAGCACTTCAGTGGTGTCTGATTTCTCTCCCACAGGTGTCTGACATTTTCATGAGAGTCCCTCAAGAAGATGGGGTGAGTTGGGTAAACAAGGAAATGATCTTCAAGCCTGTCCTTTAAGGTGCACGCAGGGACTGACATTTATCAGAATACCTACACGTTCGTTATCCTCATTATAGTCCCACGGGGCGGGTGGAGCGAGTATTGTTCACAAATTACAAATGAGAAAACGGGGCTGCCTCAGAGTCACACATCACTTGCTAACTGAGGACAGAACTCGGATTCCAGCCAGCTCGTCCGCCCCCTCACCTGGTGCTTTAACCCAGGTGAGCCTGTCCTAGCTGTTCTCCCCCCGCCCCCAACCCGGACGCTCCTCTCTGGTTTGTTTCTCACCTTTCATCCTCCCGGCCAGCTCGTATATTCTTCTTGGCTCGGCAGACCTTGTTTCCAGAGCTGTGAACAAACCCCCTCTGCCCCAGCGGCCAGAGTCATCTGACAGAAGAAAGAGAAAAATTTTCTTCTATAGGAGACAAAATCCAGTCCACACTTTAAAGGTATGCCCCAGAGACTCAGGGAGAATGATTTTTCAAAGGGCAGGAGAAACTAAGGGTTTCTGGAATCTACCTGGCGAACACAACAGGAAAGCATCGGAAGAATTAGTGCTCTGAAAGCGTGAACTCCCCGGTTCTCCTGCGGTTCCCAGGAGACGGCTGGCGGGCCGGGGAGCAGATGCAGCGCAGGAAGGGCCGGGGCTCTGCCGGCACAGCCGCACACAGCTCCCACTTCCAGGAGGAACGCGGGGAGGCTGAGCGCCCTGCTCAGGCCGGCACTGACACAGCTGGTTAGGGCCTTGTATTCAGAGTCAGTCATTTACTCAGTCATACTACAAACGTCTGTTTCTGCTACATGTCAGGCACTGTTTTAGGCACTAGGATTACAGCAGTGGATAAAAAAAAATCCCTGCTCCCATGAGGCTTATTTTCTAGTTCAGTGAAGCCATAAGCAAATACACATGGAATTTGTCAGGTGCTGCTGGGTCATCAAGTGAAGTAAGGCAGGAAAACGGAGAGAAAAACAGAGCGGTGAGGGTGGGGTCTGGTGCTCAGGGGAGGCCCTGCTGAGGCGCAGACATCTGAGTAATGTTTGATGTGGCTACTTGGGGAAAGAGGGCTCCTGCAGAGAAGTCAGAGGTACCCAGGTCACAAGGAAAGAACATGCTTGGAGTTTTTGCTTTTTCTCAAAGGATTCACTTGCTTTGTAGACACTGCCTCCTTTTACCCTCATAAAAACCTTGTGCAGAGAACAGAGCAGATATTATCCCATTATAGAGATAAGGCAGTTGAGGCCCAGGGAGATTGGGCTGCTCAACCAGGTAAGCAGGAGGGGTAAGAGTCAAATCCCAGTCTCTTGGTTGTAAAATTCACACTTTTTTGACCACATAAGTCTGCACCAGGCCCATTAATCACCCCGAGGTCAGGGTTCTGCCTCACCTTCCCCAGTTCTTGGCACCATAAAGATGGAGGCCCCCACTCAGACCCCAACCATGTCTCCTACCTACGCAGTGCACGATGACCACGTCCTCCGCCCCGGCCTGCGGGTGGGTGACGTCACCGCTAACATACTTGATGGAGGTCGAGTCTGGGTCTTCATAATCCAGCCGGGCAGAGCTCTCATCTTCCCCTTCCTCGAGGTCCTCTGGTTCGCTGTCCCCAGGAGGCAGGCAGAAGGACTGGTAATTGTTGGACTGCCACCAGGCCATCCTTCACAGGGCCAGAGAGAAAAGGACATTAATTGGGTCTATCACCACGTCCCTTGGAGCACATTTCACATTGCTGTTCACAAACGGTAAGCGCCAAGTGGAAATGCAGTTAGAAACTCACCCCGACTGAGGTTTCCTGCCTACCTGTAAATAAACAAGCTTACCAACGAGCCTGTCTCCTGACTACACGTCAATAATGAGCAGCCACCAGATGTCACTGTTCTTAAGGACATGTGACTAAAAGGGACTGTTCAAACTCCTCTTTGTCAGACAATGAAATTCTAAAATTTTCTAGCTTCAGTTGAATGTATCTTCTCTGCCTTCAGCACTCAGGACTGCTCTCTTAAGTAGACTAACTGTTAAGGTTAAAGTTTAATCTTTAAAAAGTATTGTATTACCAGTAGGAACCAGCAGCTTCACAGGGGTCTTCTGCAATTTTAAAGTGCTGCTCAGCCGGGGACTCACGATACGGCGCTGCTGCCCTGACCGACCGTGGCCCTCGGCTTTATTCATGACACGGTCAAATGCCACACACATACCTTTTCTTACGTTCTGCTTCCTCCTTTTCCCTCCTCTTCTCCTCCGTTAGTCTCTTTCTCTTGGCTGCTGCTGCTTGTCTTTTCTTCCTTCTGTCCTCCAGCTCTTCAGGGCTCAGAACCCGCTTCCGCGCGGTAGACCCCTCGCCGAGGCCTGGGAGGAGGGCCTGGAGGAAGGACAAGACCTGTGAGCAGGGAGGCTGGGGACTACCTGTTCCTCCATGGGCTTCCTTCATCCCTAAAACCACTCTGCATGGAAGCAGCGTGCTAAATATTTCACAAAACCACGCCAACTTGTGTGCTGGCAAGACACCGCCATGCACACGTCCTGGAGACACGGTAACCAAGACCCCGTGCTCTGCACTCCGCCAGAGCCCAGGCATGGCCAGGGCAGCAGTGCATCGTTTTCATTCATCTTACTGGGAATAAGCTACTTCAGAAAACAACTTTTTTTTAATTGACAGCATACCTTGCAGGATGCCATTTTAGGGTTAACAATTTTTAGTGGAAATCCTCACTGTATTATGTCATTCCTTCTTAAAAAGAATGTTTCAACATCATGATCATCTGAATGGTAACCGTCACTTCCTGAGCACGTACTAAGTGCCGGGCACCACGGACGCCGCGCAGACCACCTGCGACTGCCACCCTCCTAACGACGCGAGGTCACGGCCGTCAGCAGCAGGGCGCAGGAGGTTGGTGCAACACAGCGATGCCTTCAGGGGCTCCGAGGGACGGCTGCCTTCACGTGCCCCAAGTGATGAACATACTCTTCTTGATGGTGTTTCTAATGCTGTTTTCACATCGCTTTTACACTAAGGTACACTTAATTATACCTGCATTTCAACAAATACTTGCATACTTATTTCTTAACAAATCACTCCCAGTATCATTTTTTGTTCTCTTAGGATGAAAGTTTGGAGGAATGTACTCTTCCATAAGCGAACAGTTCTTACACGGCCTTTATTTCGGAGTAGCCGGCCCTCTTGCCTGGTTTTCTCCAGAAGGGTTTTCTGAAGATTCACCAGTTGTTCAAACGATTTTCTGTCTTCTTTACTAGGCTCCTTAGAGTAGTCTTTCCCTTCAAATAAGTACATGTGGTTTTCTAAGGACATAAAACACAGAGAGACATGTTGGACACTAAAGACAAATAGACCAATTCGATTCAAAGCAATAACCAGGGTGAACTAGCGAACAGCCTGTGTTCTAAACGGGCTGAGATTAGCTCACGAGGAAGGCAGTGGATGTCTGGTCCCACTGACGCTGACGGGTTTGGGATCCACGTGCAGGTCTCACGTGCTCGTCTCACGTGCTCACCTTTGAGGGGAGAGCGTGGCTAAAGCCCTCCGGCCCATCTCTAGATGGTCCGTGGGTCTCTGCCGGATGCCCCCGCCCCGCGGAGTCTGGCATCACTCATCACCCACTCACTCCACACTATTCCCCAGCATGAGTCTCCCTGACAGTAAGGCTCACCAATACGGGTAACAAAGAGCATATTTTTAAAATTCTAAACACAGTTTTAACCCCTCTCTCCTCCCTTTTCTGCAATATTAACAGGAACGGGGGGAGAATCTACGAGGAAGTAAAGAATCTAACAATCCCTTAGATTTACGACGGTCTTTACAGGCCTCGTGAAACACCCCAGTCCTGGTGCAACCGACCCCACTTAAGACAGGGAGAACTGAGGCTCCGACGGGGGAGAGACTCCCCGGTCCTCAGTGCTAATACATGAAGAAGGCAGGATTTTCTGACTCGGAGGCTGGGGGGCTCTTTTCGGCATATTACTATGTACAGGGGGATGGAAGGCTAGCGGGCAGGGACACTAATGACAGCGACAACAGCGATGACGGCGGGGTACGTGGACAGCACCTGATGCTGTCAGAGCCCTTCTGTGACCACACCTGGTTGCTGTGACTGCGGGAGAGCAGAGCGGGCTCTACCAGCGCCATTGTACAGGGGACGACACTGAGGCTGAGAGAGGCTGGATGGCCTGCCAAGATCATGAATCACTGGATGAAGAGAAGCCTTAACAAGCCAGGACTGGCAACCAGGGAGAGGTGACACAGAGATTACAACGTGAAGCATGTTTAATATAAGCACATGTTACCAAAGAACGTGTTTTCACAGCATTAGTAAAATCAGCAATAAGTGTGTTTTCCCTAAAGAGTACGAAAGCAAAACATTTTCATTCTCAAGAGATCAACTGCTTCACACTTGTACCCAAATCCACCCAGCTGCGATTCTAATTGGCATCTGCTAATTAAATCAGCGGGGGGCTTTCAGTGAGGCGCTCTATCAACAAGTGGAAGAAAAACACAGCGCCGAGAGGCGTCAGATATGATCGGCACACACAGCTTCACACTGCGAGCAGTTCTCGACTTACGGACGTGCTTTTAAAAAAATTCCTGGCGGTCAAGATACAGCAGCGCTGTTTTTCCTTTCACTCTGGCGGGGCGTGCTCTAATTACCGCTCTCTCACACTCAGTTACATCCCTTCAACCACGCTCCCTGTTTTCACCCTGCAGCCGAGAGGAGGCTGGAGACCACGGGCTCAGACCCTCATCTGCCTCCCGCCAGGGGGGCCACCTGCCACGCAGTGAACCCACGCTCACTGATCAAAGACAAAATCCCAAATTTTAATACAACTGGGGAATTTTTCTGGCAGCTGGGCTGCCTGAAAAAAATAGAATTTTTTTGGCAGTTGGACTGAGGATATAATTATCTTTCTGGAAAACTGAAATTTTACTTTGTTCTAGTAAATGTTAGGAAAACAAGCTGAAATTAATCTAGATGAAATGGGTGCAAACTTCAGTGCTTAATGTGCTCAAAATGCAACTAAAAAACAGGACCACATACATCTATTTCTTCTCTCATCTAAAAGTAAATGCCATTTTTAAAAGACATGAGACAACAGTGAATGAAAAGTTCAATAACTTTGGAAAATGGAAAGTGGCTGATAACAGACTTAAAAGAGCAGTGGAAGCAAAACACAGGTGCCCAGTCAAAGGGTGATTATGAGAACAGGGACCCCTTCAACTCTCCAAAAGCGCAGAGCATACAAGGACGAGGACCCGTGGGGGGGGGGGGACTGAGAGAACCTGCACACCGAGGAACAGGAGCGCCCGAACCCCTTCTCATGTCGCCCCCTCAGCGTGAGCAGATTTATTCCAAGCTCCTACCCAACCTTTTCCAAGAATGATCTCAAGCATTCATCTCTGGAGAAACAGCTGCCCAGAGGAAAGGCTTCCTTCCAGACACAGACATCTGGGAAGGCCCCCTTCAGTGAGGAAGGCAGCTCGCCAACCGGTGACGCTGCAATAAGGACCCAGAGCCCAGACACCTACCCGTCAGCTTTGGCATTTCGCCGGCACAGGCGCCAGCCAGAGCCACCAGGTGTTTCAGGGAAACCTCCGGTGGGGACGAGACAGCGTTTTTAGAAAGAAGCAACTGGAGGGAAAAGACAAGGCAGAGGCTGGAGGAGTTCTTTTTTCTAAGATAATAAATACCCTCCCTGGAATACTTTTTAACAGCTATGATAAGAGAGGGCGTGACATCCCTGAAATGAGGACAAGATACAGGCAGACGGCAAGCAGAGAAAGGGCTCTTTAAAAAATACTAATAATGAAACATTTTTAAACTAAACAACTAGAAAGGTCACAAAGCAGAGTCCTGCCGAGTAACGCCAGCCGCCTGCGGGCCGGGCTCCCCACACACCCTGCGAACCCCACACACAGCAGCAGAGCCACAGCTGCGGCGGAACCAGGAGGCGGAGAACACGGGCACCCTCAGCCCACAGGTGCGAGAGATGCGAACGGCCCAGGCCGGCCGAGTCCGCTGCGGGGCCCAGCCCGGAGAGGCAGCAGGGGCTGCGCAGAGAGGGCAGCAGGCTTCTGCCAGTGTCAGCTGCAGATCAGACCTGTCCCCCAAAGAACGCCACACCCCAAATGGGAGAATAACGAGGCTCAGTCAGACCGGGCGGATCAGAGCAGTGACTACTAAGCAACTGAAAGGAAGGGACTAGAAAGGACTCGCAGCCAGCAACTTAGGACGGCACTGCTTCTGGGGGGAGAGGCGCCTCAGAAGGAGGGACATGCCTTGGCAGTTTGGTGGCAAAGGGAAAGAAGGAAGCAAGGGACGGAAAGTCAGGGTCCCACGGAAACGGGAGAATCAGACCGCCACCAGTCACGCCAACCCCACCCTCCACCCAAGAGAGAGCAGCCTGTAGAGACGCTGCACTTCTCCGTGAATGGAACAGGCGCTTCTGAGTTAAGCAGCTGGTAAGACGACCAGTCAGACCTTCCGCCCGAGTCCGCACCGAATCTCTGGCACAGGCAGAGTCATTTCAAAACAACCCTAAGACGTCAGAAGACATCCTTGCAAAGCTACCAAGTGAAAAAAACACTGCAGATCAGAAGTTCAGGTACTACAGAAACGGACAAAAGACAAATGTTGACCAAAAGCAGAAAAAAATGACAAAAATCATCTTATGATTTACATGTATCGCTTCACTTAAAACCTAAAATTAACGGCGCCTCACCTCATGGTGAAGATGAAATGAAAGACACTGGTACAAGGCACGTGACAAGCACAGACTTCTGGCTGAACAGAGTAAAGGCTCAATCGGTGTTAGCTGCAGCTCAAAATGAGTTGCCCTGCCACTCGGAGAAGGCCTCACCGCGCGCAGCTCCACACCAAGGACAGACGACTAAGGACAAGCACACATTTACATCCTTGAGACGGATGCCACCGTCAGCACTGGCACCATCAACGTGGTTCAAAGTTCAGCCACATGGGACAGTCAGACGACTTCGAACCACGTGAATCTTAAACAGCCCACGGCGAGGGGCAGGCAGGGGAAGGGCGCCTGGGCAGCAGCACCAGGACCCTCCGCAGGGACGCATCGCACTCATGTCCCCGCGGGGGTGGCAGGACCACCAGCTCTGCTCTCGCCCCCACTTACTTTCTTCCTCCTGGTCTCTGCTTCCTTCCTCCTCTGTCGGCAAGGCATCCGAGAGCCACTGGCCGTCTTTTGTTTCTCCCAGGATAGGCTCCAGGTCTATTTCACCCATGGTGCTCCCCTCCGAAGACAGCAGTTTATCCAAACCGAATTTGAGGATCTCACTCAGCTTGAATGAGAAAACAGAAAAGTCCAGTTGGCTCTTGTGAAAACAAACCCTGGGGTATCAGTGATTTGCTAAGCGGCTTAAGGACACCACCAGGCACGTCCCCTCCCTGATGGTCAGCCTCTCTTCCCTCCCCACGAAGGATGACACCACCAGGGCTGTTCCGAGGATGGATGATGGGTAACCAAAGAGGTAATAAATGACGGACAGAGACGCTGACTCGCAATTCTCAATAGCCAAAAAATTTTCACCTGAAATCTTTTCTGAAGAATAATCATAATTTCCTACATCTCTCACACAGTCGCTTTCACAGGCATTCCAGCAGCCACATGAGAAGTCACAGACCCTGTTAGCTACCCTCCCCCCCGACTTCCGCTGCCAAGCTTCTCAGAAAGAGAAGGCTACACCGGGCACTCTACCTCCACTGCTGACTGACTGACTGCTTTTCTTTGGCCGTTTCGTTCCTGCCGCAGCGCTCTATGGAAACAACCCTCACGAAGGCCAGTGACAAGTCCGGATCACTGGATCTGAAGGCCGTTTCTCAATTCTAGCGCTCCTGGACACTGCTCTGGCCCTGCACGGCCCCACTTCTCTTCCCTTCTCTCTACCGTGCTCTCTGTCCATTCCCTAGGGATGCAGAAACCACCCGAAAAGTTCAGATCGTCTTTCCTGGCTTTAGCTTCCCACCTTCACCTGTGTGCTTCCCTGTGAGCCAAGTGAGATGTGGGCCAAGCTGCATTCACGTCTTGGCTCCTCATTTGCATCTTGTCCTTTCAGACTGGGTCGGTTACCTCTAGATGGTCTATTTTGTGACTAGGAAATTCTCTGGTAGCTGCAAAAAAATTCAGGTAGTTCACCGAAGCAACACACCGGGCTATACTGACCTTGAACCCTGATATACATGTGACAAGGTGTGACTGGCTGCAGCAGTTGGCCCCCAAAATAGAAGAAAGCCAGCTATTTCTGAGGGGGACTGGTCTGAATGCGACACTCCCTTTGGTCCATCTCATATTCATGCCATGTGATGAGTCTCAGCCATCAAGGGACTACCCGTGTTTTTAGAGAAACAATATTTTACAGCAGTTAAGGGCAAAGGGATGTGCCTGGAGGTTAGAGAGTACCCAGACTGGAGTCCTAAATCTGAACGTCCCTGGGAAAATTACTTAAAATGGAAACAGCACCTACCTCGTTCTCTGGTAACTTACATTCACAGAAACAACGGGAAGGAAACACTGCATGTAATACGCAGCACACAGCAGGCATTCAGTAGACGCTGCTGCGGCTGCAGCTGCCTCGCTCTGCTTGTCAACTCCTCCCTGCAGGGTGACAAGCCCGCTTCCCTCCTTGAGGGCGTCAGGAGCCTGTACTCAGACTTACTAAACCACAGTCACTATTTTACTGTTGGATTCTTTTTTACTTTAAAGACAAATAAACCCTGCTTTCTTCTGAGACGAGGGCATTGGGTTGTCACCTTTGTTTTTGGCCACCAAAGAGATAAGCTGTCTAGTCTTGGTAGAGAAGACAGAAATCCGCCATTAGAGCCAGAATGGAACCTTCCGACAGAGCCTGCCTCCAACAGCCAGTGGCCTACGTCCCCACCAGGATTTGGCCCATGGCACAGAGGCATGTCTGCACGACCACACGGATGTGCCCAGCAGCCTGCGTCACGGGGACACTGACTGAATTCCCTGAGCTTCTCCCCACTGGCAACTCCCCACCTCCATGCACACCCAGAAGGGGGCCTCTGAGGCTCTGCCGTTCGTGCCCTCCACCCCCCAAGGTGGGCTCGCCGCCCTCAAGGCTGAACAGAGGACTGGCGCGTGGAGAACCACACTTCAGAGCTCCGCAGGCTGCCCGACCTCTCTCTCGAGCTTTCAGCTGACACCTGTAGTGGCCCCTTAGGTAACGTGAAGACAGCGTCGAGCCCGCCCTGCCGCCAGCATGGGTGAGCTCGCACACGTCAACCAGGAGCCGAAGGAAGCACAGAAAGAGGAAAAAAACACACTTTGCACCTTGAGGTTAAACAAAAACCAAACAAGAAGATGCACAGAACCCAGGGTTACTCTCGTTTTAGCCCCAACATAAAGGAAACCTTCAGCCTCTCCCGCAAGTTACTAACTCCCTAACAAAACCAGCGGGAGCCTCGTCTCTTGCAAGGCCGGGCGTAAAGGCCGGCGCTGCTCTTTGTGGACATGAAAACCACATGAGAAGATGTCGTTTTTAACCAGACTAACTGTAGACCAGTAGCTCTGTGCGTAACAGTGTGTAGCTTTTTTCCTTTTAAATACTTGTATTTTCTGCTTGACAAACGAGACCTTTTAAAGCCTGCTCTTTCTTACAAACTTTTGCAGATGAAATTCTTGTCTCAGTTTTCCTCTAACAATAGCTTTGTTTGTATTTTATTTTTTACTGCAAACTCTGTTGACTAAAGCCTAAATTATCTTTCTAAACCTCTGTTCTACCTTCCACCTTCCTGCTACCATCCTCATCACCTGGGCTTCCAGCCTCACAGCCACCTGTGAACTGTCCTTCTCCCCAGCCCCCCGCCTCTGACAGCCAACTCCTGTCACTTCATCTTCTGTGCGCTGCTCACGCCAGGCCCTCGCACTGCTGCTGCCCTGGCGGAGGCCCGCTACCCCCGGCACGCCTGGGTCTTTCCAGTGTCCCAGGAGCTGGTCTCTCTGCTTCCAGCCCCTCATGCCTGGGTCAGAATGGAATGCCCTGGGATACACGATCACACGGGTTCTAATTTTAACCCCAGGGCTGCTACAGAGTGTCTGTAAGCCCTCTTGCAGATAAAAGCTTTCTCTAAAATCTTCCAAGCCAGCATTTCTTCCCTATCCAGTGACCCTGTCTTCAAGCAGTTAACTCTCATTCTTTCACCCACTTTTCCTATGTATGGCATAATTCCGAATTCCCAGCCTTGTCCACCCTCTTGTGAGCATGAAGAAGGTGATGTGAACTGACCAGAGGGCCCGGGGTTAAGGTGGAGGTATGGGAGCAATCACTGTTTGTTACACTGCGTTCTTTATTTCACCTCATTCTCCTAGTGGCCCTCGGAGGCGGCCCGTGGCAGCCTGGCTTTCAGAAAAGCAAAGGTAAAGACGCCTGCTCAGAGCCACGCGGCCAACCAGCGACAGGGCCTGGGCTGGAGTGCAAGTCAGAGGGCTCCAAAGCCCGCCACGTTCTAGACCTGCCGCCTGGACGGGAGGCACGCCGGCAGCAGGACTCTGGCCGGGGGACAGATGTGCCGTGGGGGGCGGATTAATGCCAGTTGTTTTCACTTGCTTTCTCATCCCCAGAGAGCACTGGCTACAATCACAACACTTTCCAAAGCGAAGAACGACGTGCATTACCCGGAGGTCAGCGTCCGCAGAGGGTCTCGGGGCTCCCAGGGTGAAGCGGCCCCCTTCCATGACCGCGCTGGCGAGCTGCAGCTTGGAGGCGGCCTTCCTGCAGACTATTTCTTCCACAGTGTCTCGGCCAACCAGCCGAATAACCTTCACAGGCCTGTGCAGACATCCGAGAAGAGGAATGCGCTGTAATAAGGGGTCTGCAAACCCGGGCACAGGCATGCAAGGCCGACATGCCCAAAAGGAGCCTCAAAGTGCCGTGTCTGGGGCACCACTAACGGGAGGTGGCTGTCAGAGGTCTGGCCTCTCTCACTGAAACTTTCCGAAAGAGTCAAGGGAGGGACCACGAGGGGTCGTAACTGCGATTCCTTACCCGTGGCAGCAGCAAACCCCGGGTAGATCTAAATCACCCTCAGGTCAGAGGGCAAGACCTATCTTCTGAGCTTCGTTCCATAACCCTGTAATTTCATGTTCAGCCGAATCAGACTTCGACTCAGGAAGGACGAGTTAAACAACCGCTGAAGGTTCCTTCTAGTCCCTTCTCAACTTGATTTCGCTCTTTTAAACAAAGCAAGTCTGGAACAGTCACGGGCCCAGCCCCGCACTACTCTGGAGTCACCAGCAGGGCTGCGCTCACGCCTCACGGCCCCTCGCCCCCCCCCCCCCCCCCTCTCTCCTCTCTCTCTCTCACACTCACTCTCTCTCTCTCGCGCGGCGGCGGCGCGCCGCGCGCGTCGCACTCTCTCGTCTCGCGCGTCGCGCGCGTCGGC